CAAAATATGCCAGTTTGGCACATGAATTATTTTGAGCTGAGAGCAATTGATATCCTGTGGGCTCATGAGAAATGTTTACCCCCTCCCATAAAGAATTTAATTTGGGTGCCTACCTGTAATAAGAGTTATCACCAGAAATAACTTCTTATGACCTATCTATAGGGCAGGGCAAACTTCTAGTCACTGAATATCTGCTCCTGTCTTGCTGAAGACCTTGCTGCCCTGAAAAGCCCCTATGTGCCTTACATCATCCCTAGCTCAAAATACCATATATACCTCCTTTTCCCTTTCTGTCTCTGACTCGTGTGTGGGGTTTCTGTCTGTATGTATATAATTACATTTGTTTATTTTCATTTGTTAATCTGTAGCATGTTGATTTGATTATTAGACCAGCCAAAAAAACCTAGAAGGGTAGAAGACATTTCCTTCCTCCCTCAGAGTTAGTGCTGTGAGCAAGATACCTCACCAGCTGGCCAGCGCTCACCCTCCCGAACTGCTACAGTAGGAAGAACCTGGAACCTCAAACACGTTGCTGGCAAAGAAAGGTAGGATTTTTTGCTAAGTGAGATGCTGATCTCTACCTGGAGAGTCCCGTGGAAGTAGAGTAGTGAGAGTCCTTTTATTTTTCCTTTTCTAAATTTAGATTAGCAGGAGAAAATATTGGCAGAGCTAGTTCCTTGGGTTTAGTGACTTTTGGTTATTAGGTATGGGTGCTCTCAGTTTTCACGTGTCTTTTCCTTCCAGAGATGGGCATCGTTGTGTCTGTTGCACCACTTGCCTTGTTCTATGCTTTGAGAGCTTGGTTTTGACCTGTCTTTGGTCTCTGCCATCAGAATGTGCACATATTCGTGTGCGTTTGACAGCCAGTCAAATAGACTGGGGATTCATGTTATAACTTTTGTAAAATTTGTCAGCAAGAGAAATAGCTTGATGTGATAAAATTTTCATAAGTAATCTAAACATAATTAAGAAAAAATAAATAGATGTGAATAGAATAAAAGGTTATTAGGTGAACTCTTGAGCAATCTTTATATGTACTTGAAAATGGTTTCCTACATCTCTTTGCTAACTTGAAACTTTAAAGTTTTTCTAAAATAATTAAATGGTGGAAATTCATTGACTACCCAGATAATTTCCAAATAAGATAAAATAATGAAATATTAATTACTAAGCATAGATTTACCTAGTTTTGGTTTCCTTTTACAGAAAAACTAAAGAAATTTGGGTCTGTTAGTAAATGTCTCATACTTCACTGAAAGATTGTACTATAAAAAAGCATATTTTTCTAGAAGTTATGAATGTATTTGTAAGTTTATTGATCTAAAGAATACTGGGGTAACAGTTTAGAATTACTTCTTAGTTTTCACTAGAAATTAAAGTTTCTGAGGGTAAAATTCTAATTAATATAGAAAGAAATAACATATTTTCAGTAATAGAAAATATAAGTATAAATATACATTTTTGAGGGAATTAAAAGAAAGTAGTTTGTCCTGAAATAAGTTGGTTTTTTCTGAATGGGTAAGAGAACAAGAGACAAATTAAAAGAAACAAGGAAAGTTGTAGAAGGTTTGTAAAAAGGTATCTTGAGAAAGAAATTTTATGTGTGATCAAGATGGATAAGACTGAATAAATTTATTAGAAATGTCTTTTTAAATAAAACAAAAAAAGCTTTAATAACAATAGGGTACTAAAACTTAATAGTTTCTCATCTGCTGAAAGGACAAAGTTTTCTTGGATTATTGGTCTGCTCCTGATAAGATAATACGAAAAGTTTTCCGCTGAAGAAACAGATTTTGTGCTTTACCAAAATAATTTTGTTTTATGTTGTCCTAATCAGGTCTTTGATTACTTAAGAAAATTGGACGTTCTGTATTTGAAATTCCCTAGCAGACTTTCTTGCAAAGGCAGCAGCAACCAAATCTATAAAGATTAAGGCACATGTGGATGAAGTACATCCTGCTTCTGCAAAAATGACCCCTCAGCCATGGCCAGGTAGCTCAGTTGTTTATAGCATCGTCCTGATACCCCAAGGTTGTAGGTTTGATCCTGGTCAGGGCACATACAAGAAGCAACCACTGAATGCATAAATGCGTAAATAAGAAGAACAAAAAATTCATGTCTTTCTCTCCCTTCCTCTCTCTCTTTCTATAAGGAAATCAGTAAATAATGATCCTTCAATGCCAGACTTTTGCCATCTTGATGCTCATGTAACATGACAACACTTTGATCCTAAATCAGGGAAGCTAAGATGGGTAAACAATGCCTATAAATTAAACAAATAGTTGGGGCTATGGGATTCTCCTAGGCTCCCAGGAAAACCCAGTTTTTTGGTTTTTGTGTCTTTTCATCTTTCAAAGTACACTTAAGCTGGTCTTCACTCCACTGCCGCTTAGTATGGGTTATCAATATGTTCTTATTGTTGTAGGTATATTTATTTACCAGATGGATTGAAGACTTCCCCTGCCACAAGGCTCATACCTTCACAGGGGCAAAGAAACTGTTAGAAAATGTGTTTCCTGTGTGGGGTGTACCTTCCATAATCTACAGTGGTCGAGGCACCCACCTCACTGAGCAAATCATACAAGCCTTGAGAGGAAGTCTTACAAACTTCTTGAAATTGTCACTGACCTTATCCCTCTAAATCATCAGGCCAGGTCTAGAAAACTAATGGAAAAATTGGATTCAAGCAGAACAAGTCTTAATTACATGAGGCTGAATGAACTGATGAGGGTGATTATAATTTTTATGACTTTTTGTTTGAAACATTGCTAGCTCTTTAATTTTTTAGTTTTTCCAGACACAAGGAAAACTTTCCTTTTAAACTATGACTTAGAACAATTTGGTAAATTCTACCTTTGTAAGCAGAATTGAAACATCTTTCTCCTCCTACTTGATCCCTTCAGAATTTGGAAAGTCTCAATGAGTACAGTGAGTATTGTTATTTTCACAGCAGTATTGTTATTTGCCTAAGTTCAATAAGAATCTGTTCTCCTTGCAACAGAACATAATTGGAAACTGGGTATATTACAGACACAGGAACCTCAAGATATTTTGGGGACCTTAAGAAGAATTAACCCAATCTAAAGGTATTGCAGGTGAAATCTGATGGCAAGTCCTTGGCTTGGCTTTTCTGGCCTTGAGAGGCCATTTACAGTTCAATCTGTAGATTGCTTATGAAGAATTCCAGAAAGACAGGTTTAAAAGGGCATATATGGTCAATTGCTACTCTTGTTGTAATTATACAAATAACAGGCCGAGTTTATTAAACTAGACTTAATTTGCAAACAAATTAGTCTTAATCTGGCTATCTTTGGTAAAAAATGGAAATGATTTTAGAGAGAAAAATTATGTTTCAGTAATACACCTCTGTGGATATTAGATTCTAGTGCTGTTCGTTATCTTTTGATGTTTTTGTTTTCTATCCATAAACTTGCCTGCATGCTGAATTCTTCAAGTTTCCTCCAATATCTGGCTATGACTCTGCAAACTACTGTTTCCAATTTTTCTGCCACCTTTCTAAATTGCAATCATTGAGAATTAAAACTGCCTTTTTCCCAAATCCATGCAAGCTGAAGTGTAACAACTTGATATACACTTCAGAGAAACACCACAGCAACTCATATACGGACAATCTTTTTGCCTGTTGCAGACAGATCACCTAACACACATATACTGTAGACCAGGAAAATTTATGAGACCATAACTGCCTGCCTTCACTCAATCTGAAGATGGTTCCAGACAGACATCTAGAAATGTTCTCAACTGGCCGCTTTGAGAGCTCAGAAACAGGATTATAGTCTGCTCTAATCATTAACCATTGTTTTTCTTTTGTTTACAAGGAGATGCCTCTTATAAAATACTCGATTGCTTGCATGCTAGGCCTTGCTTTGGGAGCTCACCTGCGTCACTGTCTCCTGAAATGAGACAGGACTATTTAACTAAACTGACCTAGTCTCAAGACTGAGACTGGTTTAGTGAGATATGGACAACCTATGAAACCCAAGTTCTGGGATATGCAACTTCTCAGGAAGTTTACAATGCAGGACTAAAGTCGGTCAGAACAGGCTTCTCCAAGATATGCCATTGTGGCATGGGAATTATTTTGAGCTGAAAGCAATCGAGGCCCTGCAGGCTCAGGAGAAACTTTTACCCTCCCTTAAAGAATTTAAATCGGAGGCTTTGACCGTATTAAGAGTTATTACCAGAAGTAACCTTTTACAACCTATCTATAGGGTAGGCTAACATCTAATTACTGAACATCTGCTCTTCTTATTGTTGTGCAAATGACCCTCTTCTCCTTTGAAGCCCCTAGGCACCTTACTTCATCCTTAGCTCAGAATGCCATATATACCTCATTTTTACTTTCTGTCCCTGAACCTTTCATGTATGTGGAGTTTCTATACATAATATTTCATTACATTTATTATTTACTCTTGTTAATCTGTCTCATGTCAATTTAATTATAAGACCAGCTGAAATAAAGTTTCTTTCTCCCCTGGACTCTAAATTTCCAGAAATACCACTACCATGTAAATAGGGGGGTGATTGTATTTTGTCTTACAAAACTTTACCAAAATTTGTTCATTTTTCTGGAAAATCCCATCACCCATAGACACTACTGCAGTTGTAGCTGTCCATGCCCGATCATTCTATGCGAGATCCCAGTATTCTGAAAACTTCAGAATGTTTTCTTCTGTATTTGGGCCCACACATTTACATATTGCAACACCTATTATATCATTATAATTTATTTTATGTCATCTTTTTTTTACAATTAAGCAATATGTTGTTTGTAAACATTATGCATGTGTTAAATTATCTACGCGTTTTATTCCTGGGAGGCGAGCTGTTTGCAAGAGCATTGGCGTGGCCAGAAGCTCTTCAGTCTGCACAGCAGCCCCCTCCATCGCGGGGAGGTCGGCCGCGGGAGCGGTCCTCCGTGCACCAGGGGTCGCTGTGGGCACCGCTCGGCCGCGCCAGGTCGCTCTCGCGTGGCCGCCCCGCCTCGGGCCCCCGGGCCGAGTGGGCGGGCAAGACTGCGCCCAGGTCGCGAGGCGCCCTTCGACCAGCAGCGCCCGGGGCGGGTATAAATGGAGCGGTGGCTCCTCCAGCCGCCTCTCTCCGCCCCGGGTCGCCGCAGCTTCTGCTGCTTTTGGGCCCAGCAGCCTGAAGAAAAAAAGAGAAAAAGATAAAAAAAAAACAAACCCGAAAACGCTTTAAAATCTGAAAAAAAAGAAAAAGAAAGAGAGAAAGAAAAGGCGAATCCTCCTCGGAGAAACCGCGGGGAAGTCACTTTTGCACGCTTCCGGCCTGCCCGCGCCCGCTGCCGCCGCTGCCGCCGCCACCCCACACCTGGTCGTCTGTCGGTCCCTGTCTGTCAGTCTGGTGGTGAGCTGCCCGCGTCCACGCGCCTCCGCTCCTGCCCTCCGTCCGCGCCGCGTGGCAGCCCCGCGCCCCCGCCCCCCGCGCGCCAACCTCCCCGCGCACCACGTGTCCGTGCTGCCCTTCGCGGCCCGGCGTGGAGGCGGCTGCGCGCTCGGTCCCCGGGGCTCGCCGCGCCGGCACAGACAGATATTTTGTATCCCTCTTCCCTGGCTGCTGTAATCTTAAACCGCCAGGAGCCCGGGGCCTATATTTATAGAGAAACGCGTGTCCCGGAGGCCGCGTGGGCACCGTTTGGTTGCCTCTTCAAGGATTTTTATAATTTGGAGGGAAATCCCCATTTTAATAAATTTGTTTTTGAAATTTGGAGCTTCAGACCAGAACAGCTGAAAATTACAAACTCCCAGGGAGGGCCATATTGTTTTTGAGAGCCTTTTGTCTGCGGTCTTGCAGTCTCCAGCGAGCCGCCCCCGAACTGCTCGGTCCCCTCCTGTTTCTGAGCCTGCTCCAGCTCCTCAGCCTCACTCTGCCACCTGTGAGCCGCGCCGCGGCCCGGGCTGAGAGGAGAGCCCCTTTTTGTCCTGTGTGGTCCCTCTAAGAAGTCCTCCTGGCGGGGCTTGGGGTGGTGGGGGCTGGGGAGATGAACGCTGCCGCCAGCAGCTACCCCATGGCCTCCCTGTACGTGGGTGACCTGCACTCGGACGTCACCGAGGCCATGCTCTATGAAAAGTTCAGTCCTGCGGGGCCTGTACTGTCCATCCGGGTCTGCCGCGATATGATCACCCGCCGCTCCCTGGGTTATGCCTACGTCAACTTCCAGCAGCCGGCTGACGGTGAGTAGAAGCTGTCCACGAATTCTCGGTATCCCAGGGGGCCCTAGGAGCCATCCATCGGGCAGGTCCCTACCCACATGGAGGGGGCATCACGACAGCACGTTGCCACAGAAACCGTAGCGGGGGAACAGGATGCAGGGGCTGGGAACATGGGATCCTGGCATCAGATGACCAGAGTTTCAAGTCTTGTTTCCACCACTTGCTAACTGGGTGACCTTGGGCTAATCGGTGGTGGCAGTGCGGTTGGAACCCAGACGCTAAAACAGCGGTTTCCGAGGGAAGTCACGGTCATTCTGTGGTGTGTGTGGTCCTGCTGCCGTGGGGCTGGTCTGTTAAAGAGACCCTTGCTGGTGAGTGGGCACTGGCTGGTGTCTCCCACAGGCCTGCCAGAAAGGACGACTGAAACACAATTCCTGCAAAAATTTTAGATTGCCAAGCTGGCATCCCTTCCCCTACCTTTACCCTGGCCTAGGCATCTGTCTGATTTTATGCTGATAAGGGTCTTTCAGGGCAGGTAGGAAGCAGGGGAATGAATCTGTGCATTAAATTTGAGCAGGCACTTGCGTTAGCACCAAGTGTGCCAGGCCAGCCCCCTGGCTGGGGTGTTTGCCACTGGGGTGAAGGAGTTCTTCGCCCTGGAAGAAGCCGTGGGCTGTGTGTGGAGAGTGGGTCTCAAGGTACTCTGGGGAAGCGCCGACTCCGCGGGGCTGGTGGGGATTATTGTCTCACCTGTGAACAGTGCTTTACGCTTGTCAGAACCCTTTTACTACATCCTACCTGAAGAAAGTAGGACTCCTGCGAAGCAAAAGTGACTGCAGAAGGTGGGAACCTGAGCTGGGACTGCCAGCGCAGTGCTTGGTGAGCCCACGTTGGGCCCTAGCTTGGAGCCTTGGAGTGGAGCGTGTGCTGCAGGCGTGGTGGCAGGAGCCAGGCCAGAGGAAACCTAATCAGGAGCTGCACGTGACTCCAGATTAAAAAGGAACAACTGTAGAGATCATTACTGGGAGAAACAAGCCATTCTGTGGCAAAGGATCGCCAAGTCCCTATTTTTGTCTCCACTTTATTCTCTGTCCGTGAAGCCCAGGGAATGTCACTTGCTCAGGATGCAGCTGAGACCATAGAATTGGATTTACTGAGATACATACACAAGGCGCTACACCCATCAGTTCATTGTACTCTGCACTGACTTGGGTTTGGCCAAAGGCACAAAGAAGGTTGCTGAGTGTGACCTTTTTAGGTGGGAATAGTGGGTATATTGGCTGTTGCCTGCCTTCTTGACTCTTCTGCACAAAAGTCCTGTCACTTAGAGATAGTAGCAGAAACCATTGGTCAGTGTGTCTGCCAACACATACCTCTGCAGGACCTCTCCCTGCTATAAATAAGTGCAGCCCGATTTGTCAGACTAAGCTGACTTGCCTTCTGCAGCGCTGTCTGGAAATAGAAGAGGAGCTGTGTTGAAATGGGTTCCTTTGCTGCTAATTGATGAAACCCAGGTTGGGGTCCCAGGCTTTCAATCTCAGTTGGTGACCCACAAGCAAACCCTTTGGTGCCTGGATTTTCCTGACATAGATCTGCCCTGTCTCCCGTTTCCTGACAACCTCTCCTCACCGAGCGGCCCACTGAGGAAGGTGGGAAAGATGGTTGGAGATAGATACTCCCTTGGCTGGCTGGGCAGCTAAGCTTGCAGAGGGGTAGTAAGGGAATTTCGTCTCCTTTTTAAGTGGGGTGGTGCCTGAAGGCAGGAAACCCCGCCCCCACCTCCCATCCCTTCATGGAGGACATTGTGGGTGATATATCATTGCATAAGTCAGGATACGTGGCCAACCAGCTATGGGTCTTTGTTACTACCACTGAAGAGAATTGCTCCTGACTACAGGTGGTGATATGTTTTAGCTTCTGGTCCTTTAAATGGTCTAATGGTGCATACAGGGATTTGGTTGGGAGAACTCGGTTGGACAACAAGGCATAGGAAGGCCTGGAGACCATCAGGTGCAGGGCCTGCCTGCATTGTCTACTTAGGCAGAAAGGTGTAGCGGTTTTATCCTTCTTGTCTCATAAAACAGCATTTCCATGTGTGACCATTAGTATTTATCATTTTGATGATTGAGGATTTTTGTCTGATTCAGTTTCTGCTCTCAGAAAACGTAAGAAACTGGGCTGAATTCAGGGATAGCACATTTGCAATCCCAACCATTTGCTCACGGTTTTGTTTTGTCATTTGCCTCATAGTTGTCATGTAGACTAAATAACAGCTAGTTGATAACTTTGATGTGATACCTTATTGAAAAAGAGCCAGAAAATCTGGTATTAGTTTGTTTTTTTTTTTTTTTTTTTTTTTTAAATTTAGGGCTATTCTGTATTAATTTCAGGTAGATAGCACAGTGGTTAAATGGTATCAGTTTCTTAAGCTTAGCTACTCTGAACATAAGTTTGTTCCTTTTATAAAATGGATAATGTCACCTGCCCCAGCTGTGTTATGGTGGGTGATAGGGCTGCAGTTTCTTATATAAATGATTTTAAAAGCTTAGTCAAATAGGAGATACAGAAGTCCCACTTTATTTGCTGCTTTTCTTTCTGTGGTTTTAGTTAACCTATGGTCAGCCATGGCCCAAAAAATAAATAGAAAATTCCAGAAATAAACAATTTATACATTTTATATTGCCTGCCATTCTGGTTAGCATGATGAAATCTCCCACCATCCTGCCTGGGACGAGTCATCCTTTCTCCAGCATATTCATGCTCTATAGACTGCCCGCCAGTCAGTCAAGTCATTTATTAGGCGTCGCAGTTATCAGATCAACTGTGCTATCTCAAGGCTTGTGTTTAACTCCTTATTTTACTTAATAGTGGCCCCAAAGCACAAGCAGAGATGCGGGCAATTCAGGTATGCGGAAGAGAACCTGGAAGTATTTCCTTTAAGTGAAAAGTTGAATACGGCACAGTACACTTTTCAGACAGACCACATTCTTAAAACTTTTATTGTAGTACCTTGTGATAATTGTTCCATTTTATTACTGTTAATCTCTTACTGTGCCTAATTTATACATTAAATTTTATTATAGGTATGTTTAGGAATAAACAGCATATGTAAGGTTGGTACAATCTGCAGTTTCAGGCAGTCACTGGGGGTCTTGGAACATACACCCTACCACCATATTATCATTTGATCCTGGTGCCATAAGTCCATTTAGATGATCTTGCCTAATCCCTTTACCCAACAAGGATACAGACCCAGAGGGGTTGAGGCTTCATCTATGAAGTAGATTAATTGGATAGAACTTTTTCTGCTCTCAGTAGCAATGCAGGGTAGAGGAGTCTGATGCCCTTTAATTTTAAGAGTTGCTTTTTATCAGAGTGATTCCTAGGATGGTGGCAGTCACCTATGTGAGATATTTTGTATCCTTTTTTTAAAAAGATTTTATTTTCTTTTAGAGAGAGGAGAAGGGAGGGAGAAAAGAGGGAAAGAAACATTTGTCAGTTGCCTCTCACACGCCCCCAAGCGGGGACCTGGCCTGCAATGCAGGCATGTGCCCTCACCGGGGATCGAACCAGCGACCTTTTTGGTTTATAGGCCAGCACTCAGTCCACTGAGCCACACCAGTCAGGGCAGGTGTTTTATATCCCTGACTGAAATGTGTTTCTCTTGCAGCTGAGCGGGCCTTGGATACCATGAACTTTGATGTGATTAAGGGGAAACCAATCCGCATCATGTGGTCTCAGAGGGATCCCTCTTTGAGGAAATCTGGTGTGGGAAACGTCTTCATCAAGAACCTGGACAAATCTATAGATAACAAGGCACTTTATGATACTTTTTCTGCTTTTGGAAACATTCTCTCCTGCAAGGTAAACATTGTTTAAATGATTTTAGCAGAATAATTACCACATCTTGAAAACAAAATAAATACTAAACGGGAAACTGCCTTGGAATTGAGTTGACAGGGTACAGTAATTTTCAGAATTCTGGAAGTGGCTCTTAAGCCTAATAAGTCCCTGGAGATAATCTCATACCATAACCTAGCATAACTAGCAGGTGCTTTTGTGTCTTTGTTTGTTCTTCCCTCTGTGGGAAATATCCTTCCTATCTTCTAACTTTGGAAAGCATGAAAAGGTTTCTTTTGGGGGGCGGGGACCCAGAGCAGTGCCTGTGGTTTCCAGGAGGCTGTATATAGCCATTTTAGAAGCATAAATTCCCCCTCTTCCTTTTCTGTGCACCTGTTTATGTGGAGAATTGTATACAACCTGTGGGGTGGTGGTTTACATGGCTGCCACCACACTAGACTGAAATTCTGTTGCGAGCTTAAAAAATGGTTTGTCTTTCTCTAGCACTGTGGTTTTACACCCGTATTTCTCAGAGTTTTTAATGAAGAAAACATTTGGAATAGAAGCAGCCTAATGGTGGCTACCATTTGTAAATGGGTGCCTGGTGCTGCACTGAGTGTTAGGAAAACTTACCTGCCGTAGTCCCTGCTGTTTGACCATGGATTGGGTAGAGGCCTCAGACACAGGAGGCCCCGAGTAAGAGACCATGTGGTTCTTGAATCCCTGGTGCTGACCAGTGGCGCTAAAGTGGCCTGCCTTGTCTTTGACAGGTGGTGTGTGATGAGAACGGCTCTAAGGGTTATGCCTTTGTTCACTTCGAGACCCAAGAGGCGGCAGACAAGGCCATCGAGAAGATGAACGGCATGCTCCTCAATGACCGCAAAGTGTGAGTGTCCCAGTCCGGAGCAACAGCCATCGCATGAGCCAGCCTGGCCCCACCTCGGTATTAACTGGCACACACAAGGCGGCTACTGGTTCTCACGGCCCAAGTGTGGCCTGCTCCTACCTCTCCACTCCAGGGCTGGTGAGTCTCCCTGCCGAGCCATGGCAGCCCTTTTGACTCGCCAAGGTGGGCTTCCTGCCCAAGCCATGGCCTGCCTGCCGCCTCTCCCTTAAAAACATACAGCTGTGGGTTTTGTGAACATCGGCAACTGGGGCTGGCTGGAGGATGGCTCTAAGCCACTCTGAGCAGGGGTCTTGGCCAGCAGCAGAGTGGAGAGGGCCCTGAACTGACCAGGAGCTGTATATGAGCCACATGACCTTGGTCTGCCCATGGGATCACTAGGGGTTGATGCCAAATTGTCCCCAGACCTCCACTTACCTAACTTAAGGCTTCTTGGCCTTCTAACACAAGGCTGGCTCCACAGTAATACTTAATTTGGTTACAGTGAAAAATCTCCTCCCATTTCAGAAGACACTGTTCACAATAGACCTTGTTGCTTTGCAGTGGTTATCGCACAATGGAGAGATGGGGATCGTAGCTGAGCCACACAGGGAGAGGAGAAGGGGCTGAGTCCTGGCTGTTACAAGCAAAATCATTTCTGTCCTTTGTGTGTTGTTGAACAGATCAGGAGATGGCTTGCATTAATAATGTGTATGTGCCCAGTTGTCAAGTCTCCCAAAGGTATCACTAGAAAGAAATCTAAAGATATTCAATGTATGGATACATCCCTATTAAGTGTAAACAGCACTGAAGTGTGAATAAAGTGAACAGTTAAAGGTAGTTCACTCCAGTAATTTCACTCCTCAGATTAACCACTGTTAACAGTTTGGTTTGTATCCTTCCAGACCTTTTCTATGCATTTACATAGATGCACAGAAATGAACGTTTAAAAAACATGGTCATCAGGTTTCTTCACGAAGGCAGTGTGATGTGGTAGGAGTAGCCTGGTCTGAGCCAGGAGCCCTGGGGCTGGTCCCTGCAGGACAGTCCTGCTTCTCTTTCTCTTTTCTGTGGGGAGTTGGGCGTCTGAGCTTGCTCTCTTGGTGGTGGGATTGGGACTTGTATTTTAACCTCTCCTGTCAGCCTTTAACCTGCAGTCCTTTGAGCCCCTGGAAATCATGTTTTGTTCCTAAGGGTGATCACTGGTTTTCATGATTTCTTCTTAGGTTTGTGGGTAGATTCAAGTCTCGAAAAGAGCGAGAAGCCGAGCTTGGAGCCAAAGCCAAGGAGTTCACCAATGTGTATATCAAAAACTTTGGGGAAGAGATGGATGATGAGAGCCTGAAAGAGCTGTTCAGCCAGTTTGGTAAGTTGGGTCCTTTGTCGCACGTGTACTCTTTCACAGTCCACCAGACCTGGAATTCCTCTGTTTGTATTTAAGAGAAGAGGGCACCTAGACCCAGAGGTAAAATACCTTGCATGACAAAGGTCATAGGATAGATAAGAGTAGACTCCAGGCCTTGGCTCTTGGCTTTACCCTGCCTCATCCAAGCTCCAAGGCCATCTGGGCAGCCTGGGCAGGATTGGAAGGCCAGGCATGGTGCCTCTCTCTTAACAGTCCATCTGGGTTCTTCAGGAGGTTGCTTCACGTGGGCTCCTAGAGAAGCCTCTCTCCTTGAGCTGTGGTAGAGATGGTGTTACTAATAGTTCTGTCCTTTGGTAATAGGTAAGACCCTAAGTGTCAAGGTGATGAGAGATCCCAGTGGGAAATCCAAAGGCTTTGGCTTTGTGAGTTACGAAAAACACGAAGATGCCAATAAGGTGAGAGTACCACGTGGGCTGGGAAAATTTTTGTAGGAAGTGACCCCAGAGTGCGGGCAGGGCCTTGCTAACAGAGAATGGAGCTGTAATTACCTGAGTGTCTAGTAGTGATGCATAGTTATTGTACTCTGGAATTGCCGTCTTACGGGGTTTTATGTGTTAATGTATCAATTAACTGTTTTTAAAGCATGTGGCACAAACCTCTCACCTTAGCTGTTCAGTCTTGTAGGTTGAAAATAGGACAGGCGTTTGTTCCCATTCATAGGTAAGGGAACTAAGGGCCAGAGGGTTGTTGATTAGATGACAAGACAACAGCTACTTGTGGGCGGCGCCTTGTGCTAGGCCCTTGAAAATATCACTTAATACTCGCCAAAGAACCTGAGAAGTCTAGTGACAGCTAGATCAATGCAGGCTCATGTCTACTATGCTTATATTTATACAACTGTAGTATTTTTTTCCTATGTTATCTAGATCAATAGTTCATCTAAATATTGGCCCCATTTCATTGACAAGGAAGTTTGGATTTGCTTAGCTGATGTCAGAGACAGAGTGAAGTTAGTTTTTAGCCCTAGAGGGAAGATTTCTTTCTCAGAATATTTGGTGAGATTTAGAGACCCCTGGAGCAAGGCTCCTGCCTCTGCATTTTGTTTTAAAGATGCATATTTATTTCTTCTTTAGGCCGTGGAAGAGATGAATGGAAAAGAAATCAGTGGGAAAGTCATTTTTGTAGGCCGTGCACAGAAGAAAGTGGAACGGCAGGCTGAGTTAAAACGGAAATTTGAACAGCTGAAACAAGAGAGAATTAGTCGCTATCAGGTGAGAGGTGGTCTTGGCACAGCCTACCAACCGGGAATTTACTATGATGTGTTGGCACAGCACCCAGATGTTTAGCAGGCTTTCTCGTTGGGGACTTGGGGCCGTTCGCCATCACCAGGTTTAAAAGGATATGCTTACCAGGGACCAGAGAGATTAATTTATTCATTTACAGGTTGTTCCAGAAGCCTCAGTCCATTTTCAGTCACATGGATTCCTTTTACCTCAATGATGTCCATTTGTCTGGAGTGGTGACAGGAAGAGCCCTGCAGGGGGAGGGGCCGGCGAGTGGGGAGCCAGACAGCTGGGAAGGGAGAGGGGAGTAGCATGTGACTGCACTGATGCTCCCGTCAGGGTCTTCGGGCAGTAGTTTATGAAGTTGGAGGTGCGACAGAGTCCCATGCAGGGCTTGTTCAAACACGGATTGCTGGGCCCTAGAGTTTCTGGTTCTTGGATTCTGGCCTGAGAAATTGCATTTCAAACAAGTACCCAAAGATGCTAATGCTGCTCTCTGGGGCCCACACTTTGAGAACCACTGTCCTAAGGAATATATAGGGTATAAAAGAACAATTAACAGTGATCCTTCTGCTCTAGGGGGTGAATCTCTACATTAAGAACCTGGATGACACCATTGATGATGAGAAGTTAAGGAAAGAGTTTTCTCCTTTCGGATCTATCACCAGTGCCAAGGTAATTTATACTGAGATTCTGGGATTGAAAGCAGAAGGTGTGACCTTTTAGCGGGCTATTGGCACTTGTTTCACTGACGGAATAGTATCTAAATTGTGTTCATTTCTCATGATATCTACCACATTAATCTTGCAAATTCCTCCTGGCATTCAATTAACTGTCTGAGTGTATGCTCTGGAGAATGACAATTCATTAGGTTTTCACTGCTCTGTCTCCTAAGGCCTGTGGTGTGGAGATAAATTGGACCCCGTCCCTCACTGCCAACCCCCCAGAGCACCTGAATCTTTCCCATTCTTTGCTGCTTCGTGCTGGTGTGGGGACAGATGGTGCCACAGTAAGAGCAGAGGAAATCCAGACGGGTTGTTTTCCATTTGTCTTGGGGCCTGTCTCTACAACTCTGCCACACTCCCTAAACGAAGGTATTTTGAGGACTTTAGAACTGGCATGGGAACTTCCATCCTGGTCCTAAAGGAGGAAAGAAGAATGGGAAGTTTGTTTTTCCATGTTTTGCCATATGCGTCATTTGCTTGATTTTCTTTGATAGATCAACTGAGTTAGAAGAGTGAGTGCGAACCCCATTTTTAAGTCAAGGAATTTGAGTCCTTGAGCAAGAGGATGCTGGCTACACGAGGATAGTGTGCTGTGTGTCCTTGGCATGTGGGGGTTGTGACAGGATCTGAAAGTTTTGGGTCATAGCCTATTGCAGACTCTAGCCCTGCTTAGCAGAAGTGCAGCAGATGTCACAGCGTCCTTTAGGTGATGAGAAAGGAGGCCAACTGGGCCAGTAAAGACTCCCGGTGACCCTGCCCTGTCCCTTAACTTAAGTTACCCATAAGTTGGGAGTATTGTCGTCATTACAGCAGCTGTTGACCAGAGGCCAACCTGTGGGGTTGCTCCAGTCCCTTGCCCTTCCCTCTTCCTACACTGGCCCCCACTAGTGCAAGGAGTGCAAGTCTCCTTGCTTATCTGCACAGTAGTGCAGTTGGCATTTGCAAGAAGAGCACAAAAGACCACATCTTGAAATTTCCTAGGTATCATTATTTAAAATTTTAATTTATTGTATTTTTTTTTCCATTACCATTTAGTCCCCTCATACCTCCTTCCCCCGGCAATCACCACATTGTTGTCCATATCCATGAGTCCTTTTTCCTTTTTTGCTCAATCCTTCCACATAGGCATCATTTTCATCATCAAGGTGTGTCTTGTTCTTACCTTATTGGCCCACCTCATTGGTAGGGAGTTGTTGGGTTGCTACATACCTTTACTGCCACATCCTCCACTTCAGGAGTCTCTCCAGGCAGTGAGCTAAGACACAAAACAGTGCCAAGCACATTGTCGTATTATCAGTGCTTCTGAAGACAGAGGCCAGGGAAAGTAATAAGTAACAGTTTCAGGTGAGGAAAGAGCCATTTGTGAATGACTAATTGTAGAAAAGACTGCCTAAACCAGTAGACTTGTAGTTTTCTAGCTATTTTCCTCATGGACATTAAGGCTCAGAGAGGGCAATTAAGTGCTTTGTTAATGTTGTACAGCTTAGAAATTGCAGAGCTGGGAGTAAAATCCAGCCATCCCCCAGCTGGTCGTTTTTCTGCTGTTACTCTCTTTGAATTAATGGTGGGAGTCATTGGTTTTAACTCTTTCTCACATGTGGTATTTAAAAAGCATATCCGAACTGTGCTAAGAGCTTATTAAGGTTTTGTTCACCATAGTCTTGTGCAGATAAATTCTACAATTAAATTGCTTGACACTGCTGTCCAGATCTCTTGTGTGGGTACCCAGAGGAAACCATGCTGCTGGGTGTCAGGGAACATCTTTTGGTTCCTAATTTAACCATTAGCCATATCATAGTGTTTGGGAACTTTAGAATTTAAGAAAGAAAATGTCTAGGTCCTGCCCTTAGAATTTGTGACTCAGTTAGTCTGGGATACATCCCGGGGGGACAGGGCAGAGAACCCCTCTCCTAGACATGGTGACTCTTTCAGCAGAACCCAGGTTTTCTGGCTGGTAATAGCTGTCAGAACATAGAACGCCTTTTTCTTAAGCCGGTTTCCTGTTGTAGGTAATGCTGGAGGATGGGAGAAGCAAAGGGTTTGGCTTTGTCTGCTTCTCATCTCCTGAAGAGGCAACCAAAGCTGTCACTGAGATGAACGGACGCATCGTGGGCTCCAAGCCACTGTATGTCGCGCTGGCCCAAAGGAAGGAAGAGCGAAAGGCTCACCTGACCAACCAGTATATGCAGCGGGTGGCTGGAATGAGAGCACTCCCTGCCAATGCCATCCTAAATCAGTTCCAGCCTGCAGCTGGTGGCTACTTTGTGCCAGCAGTTCCACAGGTGGGTCTGCTGTATGTTCATGGCTGTGTAGCCTGTCCACTAATAGTGGCTCCTGTAGTAGTTGGGAAAGGGGGGCCGGGAAAAGTTTAGAATGTAAGGGTAAGGATCCCTCAAATAAAATGAGAAGGGACTTATCCATGGGCATACATAGAGTGGCAGGGGTAGAGTAAAAGAATGCCCATTAACTGACCATCCTTATGCCAGTCTTTTGAGTAGAGAGAGCCCCTGCCTGAATTAGCCAAGGCCTAGTAGTGAGATGAAGTATTTCTCCAGTGTGGACTTGGGTCCTTAAAATAAAAGGGCTTGGGTGCTCTTTCTTACAGGCTCAGGGAAGACCTCCTTATTACACACCTAACCAGTTAGCCCAGATGAGACCTAATCCACGCTGGCAGCAAGGTGGGAGACCTCAAGGTAGGTGGTGGGGAACAGGGATTTGATCCCTGTGGTCTCCCTGCCTCTCCTGCCTGCCCTGTGTGAGGTGCATCCTAAGTTTTGGTCCACATCATTCATCTATGATGTGCAATTTTTGTCTTTTCGCCAGGCTTCCAGGGAATGCCAAGTGCTATACGCCAGGCTGGGCCTCGTCCAACTCTTCGCCATCTGGCTCCAACTGGTAATGCTCCGGCCTCTCGTGGCCTCCCTACTACTGCTCAGAGAGTCGGTGAGCAAACTGGCCTTGAGAAGAGTGGCCTGGGGAGGAGGGAGTCAGGATGACTAGGCGCTGCCCAGGGTTGGTCAGTTTGTTGCCTCATCTTCAAGTTCTGGTTCTATAATCTTAGCTGTGTGCTTAGGTAGGTATAAGGGGCAGAGAGACAATTTGTTTTAGGAGTGTTGGTTACTTTTAAAAAGAGTCTTTGCTCATTGGTGACTTGTGAAAAAGGATAACTGTACAAGTTTGTTAGCTGAATGACTAGAGGCAGCCCATTCTTTTGGGTGGAGTCGGGACAGTTAAGGAAACTTTTTTTTTACAGAATATGTCCTGTATTCTGAGAGGTGGAAAGAGTTGTATGTTATCTGTTGGCTGTTCTTGAGAGTAGCAATAGAGGCCCCATGTGTGATGTGTTGTGTGAACATGCTTTGGAATTTCTTCTTCCACGGGGCGTGGCCAGTTGGACATCTGCCAACACTGATGTGCGTTTGCTGGTCTGTTGTAGGGTCTGAGTGCCCGGACCGCTTGGCTATGGACTTTGGTGGGGCTGGTGCCGCCCAGCAAGGGCTGACTGACAGCTGCCAGTCTGGAGGTGGTATTGGATGCACACAGAATGGGGAAAGCTGGGATTTGACGGGTCTTTGCCCAGACTGATGGGCTTTAATTTTACTTGTCCTTTTCCTAAGGTGTTCCCACAGCTGTGCAGAACTTAGCACCCCGTGCTGCTGTGGCTGCTGCTGCTCCGCGGGCTGTTGCACCTTACAAGTACGCCTCCAGTGTCCGCAGCCCTCATCCTGCCATACCGCCTCTGCAGGTGAGAGCCACCAAATGACGCTAAAAGCATTTCCCCCATTTCCATGTGATTTCAAAGATGCCTTGCTTGGATTCCTTCAGCAGGTGTCAAATGCCTGCTCTGTGTCAGGATGTTGTGTCTTGTGTGGTGACACCGCCCTAGAAGGGCTCTCTAGTGAGGGAGAAGGGGCCTAAAAGGGTTCTTCCTGATAACAGTTCACTCAGGTGCTCCAGAGGAGACAGCTGGTGATTCCTGCTCTCCTTTATGCAGTGTAGTAATGTATGTGCTCATTCAGATCTTTGAGCTTGCATTTCTTTTTTGCCTTCCCTGGCCTAGTCAATCCTTAGCTGCTCTGCACGATAATCAGTGCTTTAAGGCAAGAGAGAACTTCATGTCACAGGAAAGTTGGAGTGGGCAGTTGGGCCCAGATCCTAGATTTTCTGATCTGGAACTTGCTGTTTCCAGAACTGTGCCCCCCCAGGTAAGCCACGATGGCAACTATTTGTTGAAAAACTCAGTAGCACTTGAAGGAGCCACACTCAGCTTTGTGATCCATGAGCTGTGTCCTCTGCTTGGTGCTCCCTAAGTTGAATATTTCCCGGAACTTGATGCTATGTGAAATATTTTTTGCCTTCAAGGCCCTACTTTTAGGCTGTGACAGGCACTAACTTTGCATGTTGACAGTCCTCAAGCATTTGATATGGTAAAAACTTGGTACAGTAAAGGTAATATGGGATGTAATTATAAATGGTTTGATATTCATACCCTTGGACCCAGTTTCTCCTAGGAATTCACCCTAAAGGAAATCTGGAATTTTGGGGAAAAGGCTATATATACAGATGTTCATTGTACCTTATTTATTAACAAGATTTCAGATTCTTGGGTAACTTTGGGTAATTTAACCTTGAATAAATTACAGTAATTGCATAGATGTGCCAAGCATTGCAGGTTTGTTTTCTTACTTCCCTTTCCTTCTAATTTTAGCTGGCTGTGTATCTGTGCCCACACCACTGTTCCTCACCTTGCTCTCTCCGTCCCTCAAGGCTGCAGTTAGTTCCTTGACAGCAGGGGCAACCACTCCACCTCCTCTTTCACACAGTAGACTTTCAGATGTTGAACGGTCAGGCTTTTGATCACCGTCAAGAGTCCTTTCCTTGGTGCTAATCAGCTGCCTCTCCTGGTTCCCAGGCATCCCAGCCTGCAGTCCACGTGCAGGGGCAGGAGCCCCTGACTGCCTCCATGCTGGCCGCAGCACCTCCCCAGGAACAGAAGCAGATGCTGGGTGAGTGACTCATGTGGCTGCAGGCGAGAGGGAGACGGACCTGGATGCCAGTGTCCATTCTTGCCTGGTTTTTACTTGAGTGTCTTCTTCAGGAGAACGTTTGTTCCCGCTCATCCAAACCATGCATTCGAACCTGGCTGGCAAGATCACAGGAATGCTGCTGGAGATCGACAACTCCGAGCTGCTGCACATGCTGGAATCCCCCGAGTCTCTCCGCTCCAAGGTAAGTGGGTGGGCTCAGCTGGCGAGGAGGATGGCTGGTCTTGGACCCCCAGGCGTGGCACAGAGAAGGAGCTGCTGTGGTGTGGGTGTTTAAGAAAGCAGTCATCACCAGGAGAAGCCATCACTGGGCCTGGGCATCAGGGAAGAGTGCAGGGTGCTCTCCTTCCATGTCACTGACAACCTAGAGATTTCTCACAGGTGGATGAAGCTGTGGCGGTACTGCAGGCTCATCATGCCAAGAAAGAAGCTGCCCAGAAGGTGGGCGCTGTTGCTGCTGCTACCTCTTAGACAAGGAAATACTGTACGTTTGGCTATTTTTGTTTTCTGCAATGGTTTTGACTCATGAATAATACATTCCTAAAAGTTTAGGGACAACATATAGAGCCATGTTTTTGCCATCTAACCTGATACCTTGGGCATGCTATCTTCTGGGGTGTTTTTGGTTTTTTACTTTGTGCGTGTCATCTGGACATTAATATGAAGAGTACAGGTTGTAAAGTGTAAGGCGCAAACAACAGTTTTCTCAATAAAGAGCACCTGGTTAGCAGTTCTATATAGCTTATTTACTGATGGTTATAACCAGACTTTCCCAAGTATCCCACAGTTGGTCTGGAATAATGAACATACAGGTGTGTCGTAATCAGATTCCACAGCCTCATTTCTATGAACATCTCCCTGGTCTGATTTGAGTTTGGTGAGGTCAGCTGTGAGAATCGCCATTGTTTAACTCAGGGAACATGGTAGACACAGGCGTTGGTGTCAAAGTGGGAGAGACAGCCACGCACCTAACTACAGTTACAGTGTGTGTTGCAGTTGACTTCTGGACTTGGGGGGCCATGGCCTCTGTCTTCAGGGGATTTGCAGCTTAACCCTGACCCCTGACAGGGACTGATGATGAGAGGAGAGGACCAAATGAGCAGAGGCACAGTCAAGGGAGAAGTCCAGGTGGTAAGGGCTAGAGCTGGTGTGGAGGTTAGGGTTGGTTTGATATAGCCACGGATAGCCCCTTGGCTTGTCATTTGGAATTTAAGCAAGAGGATCATAAAACTGTAGAAACTTTAGACTACAGGGTGACCTGGAAGGGTAGGGGTGAGTCGTTATAGACAGTAGCTACCCTCAAAGTCAGTGGTTCTCAACTAGGTGTACCCCTTCAGAGGACATTTGCCAATGCCAGGAGACATTTTTGGTCCTCACAACTGGGAATGTGTCACTGGCATCTAGTGGGTAGAGGCCAGGGATGCTTCTAAACATTCTACACTGCGCAGGACAGCCCTCACAGAATTTTATCCAGGCCAAAATGTCAGCACTGAGGCTGAGATTTCAGTGAATCTCAGGTTCTTTTGATTATTTATGTCGGTGCTTTTCTTTTCAGGATTCAAAAGCCAAATAACCCCTCATGAAATTCAGCTCAAGGTTTGAAGACTTCCTAGCTTGTCCTATGGACCTCAACATCAAGAACCACAAATTGCAAATTTAATAGGTCATTTTGTATCAAAAGGTCAATTATGAAGCACCTAGAATTTTTCAATTAAAAGAATATATTCTCTGGGTTCTGCTATGGCCCAGACAGTGTTGACTTTTTTTTTTCTATTGTGGGTTTTGATTTTTTTTTCCCCCCCAGAAATTGGTTTTATTTGATGTATCCAAGTCTTAAGTTTCTCAATAAAGGAAAAAATCTCCATAAAACTGACTCTGTCTTACATGTTACTCTGACCACAGTTTTATTTATTCTATAAATCTCTTTCACTGGAAGTAATTTTAGGATGTTAAATAGGGTCAAATGAAGTTCTGTATACTTGATCCCTTCCTGGCTGGATTACCTGGGTGTGCAGAACTGTCCCATTGCATTCTGTTGTGGGAGGACTTTGTATTGACTCCCATTTACTTAAGGGGATAGGAGTCTGATCAGAGCGGGCCTTGGATCTGATACAGGGTTGGCGCATTTCTGGAGGCCATATGATGAGATCTGTAGATCTGGCCCCTCCCTCCGGGACGTGCTGGTTGTGGGTCGTCAGTCCCTTCTGTCTCCTAGGACAGTTATACATGCAGCTCAGCAGGTCCAGTTGCCCAGATTCTGCAGCTGGGGTCTTCCCTGGCAGTGGGAAGAGAGTTTGGGAGATAGGTCTGAGCTACAGCAGCAAACGATTGTTCAAAGCCTTAAGTGTTTTGTGGTTCCATTAGTCCTCAAAATGACTATAACCTGGCCAAGGTCAAACAGTCTATTTGCCCTCCCTAGCCTCCAGGAACCCTTCCTTTTCTCACTTCCTTGAGCGTGGCAGGCTGCCCTTCCTCAGGGCCTTACCCATGTAGTCCCTTTATTCGGAACGATCTTCCCTTTGGCCGGCTGCCGTTTTCCTTAAGGTCTGGCCTGGTCTACAATAGATTCCTCCATTTTCTGACGAACGTGGTAAATGCGGCTGTGCGTTCGTGTTTTCTATTATCTGACTACGCCTCCACACCTACCAGTGGCAGGGTCCGGTTGGTGCAACATCTGCGCTAGCTGGTGAGGGGGCGGGACGCGGACGCGCGCTTCCGGCGGAAGAGCCGGGGAGCAAGATGGCTGCCACCAAGAGGGCGCCGGCATTGCGTGACGCAGGGTCCTCGCAAGCCTTTGGTTGAATCACGGTTGGGGTTGGCCGCAGGCGGCACGCACGCCGGCACGCACGCCGGCACGCCGGCACGCAGCAACCAGGCCCGGTGTCTTATGGGATGTCGTCCTCGCGTCCTGTGAACTGTGCTTGTGATTGGGTGGCTCTGCTGGTCCTAGCGCTGCCCAAAGCCCTTTTCACTCTGGCCCTGGACTCAGGTGGTGTGATGTTGTTGGGACTCGGACCTCATCCCAAACTCTAGGCCCCGGCTCCTTAGATGAAGGCATTCCCAAAATAGCTGGGGAATTACGGAAACAGCCTCACTGCGCGTGTTGGTGAGCACTACGATGCGATTGCATGTTTGATTTTTGAATAGGGTCGGGCTGGGAGTTTCAGGGAATGACCGCTCCACCCAGAAAGATGAGGGCAAGCATCCCGGATGCGCTGAGGTCAGAGCTAGGTTTGAAAGGCCAGCAATGCGCCGGACTGAATGGAGAGCAAGAGCAAAAGCCCAGAGTTGTAAAGACGTCTAACCCCTGGAGGCAAATAGTTTGCACTGGAGAAGCAAGGGAAAAGAGGCTCGAGAGGTGGGCAGGGCTCAGGTTGTGAAGGTCTTATATGCCATGCTAAGGAATTTGGACTCGTTCTGTGGGCACTGGTGAGCTTTTGGGCATTATTAAGACTGGCAGTGTTGTAATCAGATTTGTACTTAATTGGAATTACTCTTGTGACCGTATGGAGGAGAGAGGCTGGAGAGGGTGAGCCCGTTTAGGAAGCTCTCGCAGGGGCTAGATGGAGGCCTGAAGAGGAATGGGGAGAAGTCATTTTGTATTCCCGAAAGACTGTAGGGACCCCTTCTTTTCCTCCCTGCCGCTATCTTGCTAACACGTTGTTGCAGGAGCTATACCAAAAGTGTGGAGCGCATTAGTGCAGGAAGTGCTTGCTGGGCTAGCAGAGGAGGTGGACAACAAAGTTCTTTATGCTGCTTTTATTCCTTTTGGAGACATCACAGATATTCAGATTCCACTGGATTATGGAAGAGATGAGTCTTTTCAGTGTCTCATGTTTAGATTCCTAATGCCAGGGTAGGAACTTGGGGTGAAAAACATTTAAGTCATGTATATTCTGTATACGTTCGGTATGTAGTGAAGTTAAGGAGGATGTCTCTATAGGTCAACATCACTACTTTTGGTGATGGAAAAGGAATGTTTTGAGGATAACAAAGCCAAGATGGCGGTATGGTTATGGGCTGAAATTGACAGAGATGGACTATTTGTTTGATTTGAAGAAAGGCTTTCTCCACATTGGAACCGTTTGGGGGCTTTGATTTCTGATCATTTAACCTATAAACTGTAGTAAGAATCAGTAAGAAGACAGTCTGAAAAATCTTGAAAGTTCTCGTTACTGTTTCACAATGCCTGCTGGGTCCCTGAACCCCACCACATCTGCTGAGCAGACCTCCCTTCTTGGCAGCTGTGCTTTTAAAAAGCAGAGGTCAGCAGTTAAACTTAGTCTTGACAATGGAGACTTGGCCTCTGCTTAGCTGGATGAGTTTTCCTTCAGTTGGTATCAGAGGTATAGTGAATGGTTCTATTTTTTCAGGTAGGAGTTTTAGACCCAGCTCTGCTACTAACTCTGTGTGTGACAAACTCTCTGAGCCTTATGTCCTTCAGTTTTTAAAAAATATTTATTTATTTTTCAGAGAGAGAGGAAGGGAGGAAGAAAAGAGAGAGAAACACTGGCCGCCTCCTGTACATACTTCAGCTGGGGACTGAACCTGCAACCCAGGCATGTGCTCTGACCAGGAATTGAACCAACGACCTTTTGCTTTGCAGTATGACGCCCAACCAATTGAGTTACACCAATCAGGGCACAAGTTCTTCAGTTCTTCAATAAAATGGTAAGGCTGGCTTTTGGGGGCCCTTCTATCCCTGCATTCTGTAAATTAGTAACTCTTACTCCTCTTGCTCTGCCAACTAAAATACCTGTGCTGCCGTCTCTAGTAGTTCCCTAACTCAGTCGTGAGGTCAGCACTCTGTAAGTAGTTAATGCTCAATTGGGATGAATAATTGATAAATCAACATTTTTTCCTACTTTCTATAAGTCTTGCAAACAAAGATTATCACAGTGCTTGAATAGTAACTCAAGGCTTAAATTGTATAGTGGTAGAATTGAATAATACGAAATTTAAAAATTTAGTCACTATTTAGCTATATTAACTTAAAATGATTTTAATATTTCTGGAAACATTGTTAACTAAACCAAGAAAAGTCTAAAAATTAGAGTTTCTCTTTTTAAATGGCACCTGGATATGCCCTGCTTCCTCCTATTGCTCACATAATTAACTGCTCATTTCTGCTATTGTAGAGAAGTGCTTCTCATTGATTTTGAGTTTGCAGAGGTGCGTTTCACTGCTTACTGTTTGACTCGTGTTTCTGTTACCATTGGTTACAGAAGGTGTCACTCTTCATTTGGGTAGGTATAGTAGATTCCTGGGGCTACCATAACAAATTACCACAAACTTGGTGGCTTGATAGAAATTTATTCTCACAGCTCTGGAGGCTAGAAATCGAAATCAAGGTATTGGCAGGGCCTTGCTTCTTCTGAACACTGTAGGAAGATTCTTGTCCTTCTTGGCTTCTGGTGGCTCCCTGGCAATCCTTGGCATTCTTTGGCTTGTAGCGGCATTACTCCCATCTCCGCCCCGTCTTCACATGGACTTCTGTGTGCGTATCTCTCTGTGTCTTCTCTTCTTATAAGGGCACTACTCATGGGATTTAGGGCCCACCCTAGTCCAGTATGACCTCATCTTAACTAATTATTCTGTAAAGACCTCGTTTGGGTAGGTGAGAAATTTGGGGGATACCATTCAACCCTCTACGGGGGCTTGGTGTTGACAGTTGCCAAGAGGTAGGAAGTTCTGGTTCAGAGCTCCCCTCATGTAGTGAGAGCGTGGAAACCAGGTCCTGCAGAACTCGGAGCCTTCCGACCCGGCACTGCCAGTTCCTGTTTCCTGTGTATGTTCTCTGTCTCCGTAGCTGGGCACATGGCTGTGGTATACCACCAGCTCTAACAAGCAGTTAGTGTATGTTCTTTGTTAAGTATGCACATACAGTCTAGGGGGTCAGGAAGGAAAAATGTCTTTTTTCCTTAGCCTGTGCTACTGAGTGTTTAAGTGCTAACTACAAGAAGAGTTAAACAGCAGGTATGAACTTTTTCGAGGGGAAGGCAGGATACTGCAGCAGCTACTGACAACGTTGTATGGCTGGGAATCTCTGCTTTTTACTAACGCTGTCATTATTTGAAAATGTTCACTATGAACCGACTATCAAATTAATTTTTATTTAGATATTCTCCCCGCTCAATATTTGAATAAATACCAGCCATCTTTGTTGGCCTATCTTTCCCTGACTGTTCCGTATCTACATCAGAGGTCAGGAAACTACAGTTCATAGGCCAGAGCCATCCTGCAGCCTGTTTTAGTATGGCCTATGAACTAAGTGGGGTTTATAATTTTAAAGGGTTGTGGGGAGAAAAGAATATGCAGCAGAGATTGTATGTAGCCTGCAAAGCTTAAAATATTTGCTCTCTAAACCCTTTACAGAAAATTGGTTGACTTTTAGTCTAGGGCGATATACTGCAAGTAGAGTGTAAGTTGATTGTAAAGTAAAGCTGTGAATCTTGCAAAAGAGGCAGGATTTCATGAAGTATCTGAAAGTGATTATGGGAAACTGCTGCTTTTGGCTGTAGTTTAAAAAGAGGGGCTCTTTTGAGCCATTGAAAAGTTACACTGTTGTAAAGTTAAACCAGTTAACAACTGAGAAGGAAGAGGTTCCAGTGCTTTAAAAGAAAATTATTTGAATTCCTATTGCTGCTATCACAAATCACAAATTTGGCAGCTTATACAACGCAAATGTGTTATCTTACATCACAGTTCTAGACATCAAAAGTCCAAAATGGATCTCACCAAGTTACAGTCAAGGCGTTGGCAGGGCTGTGTTCCTTCTGGAGGCTCTAGGGGAGAATCTCTTTCTTTACCTTTTCCACCTTCAGGAGATTGGCTACATTCCTTGGCTCTTGGCCCCGTCCATCTTCAAGCCAGTGATGACCAAGTGAGTCTTTCTCACATTGTGTCACTCAGAAATTATCTCTTCTGGTTCTGTTTTCACATTCATAAGATCCTTGTGACTATTTTGGGCTCATCCAAATAAGCCAGGATAGTATTCTTACTTTAAGGTCAACTGACTAACCTTAATTCTGCCTGTAAGCTTAATTCTTTCTTGCTATACAATAAGCATATTCACAGGCTCCAAGGAGTAGAATGCAGACATCTTGGCTTGGGAGGTATAATTTTGGCTACCACAAAACCATTAAATGTTTGGCCATTTAAAAAAAAAAAAAAAAACTCTCTGATCAATCTTCATGACTAAGCATGAAATAAGGTTGTCATTTCATGCTGTCTTTCAATTTCATTTAATTGCTGAAAATAAAAGTAGTAACTTACCCATCTTTGTTTCTAAGAACAAGGGCATAGCTATAAATATAACCTAAGTCTTATTAAATTAAGGGAAAATATTTCATATGTTTTTAAATTTTCATGAAAAGACCCAAAACAAGCTTTAAAAAAAAAAAATCTACTTACTTTTTCCTAGCATCACTTTTTTTTTCCCCTGCACAGGCTCATGTAATAGAAGGGACTTTTATTATTTTTTAAAAGTGTTTTTACTTATTGATTTGAGAGAAAACGAGAGAGAGAGGAAGGGAGAGTGAAAGAAAGAGAATCCTCAATTTGTTGTTGCATTTATTTGTGCATTCATTGGTTGATTCTTGTATGTGCTCTGACTGGGGATTGAACCCATAACCTTGGTATATCAAGATGACACTCTATCCAGCTGAGCTACACAGCCAACTTTTTTAAGAATTCTTACAGCCATTGATTATACAGAGCCATTTCTCAGTACCCTTTTCTTCCCACTTAAGAAATTGTAATTCAGCATGATAAGAATAATGCCAAAACAAGAATCACTGGTTCATCATCTAAAGTACAGACACACACTTAATTGCTTGACACTTTATTGAATGCAAAGCAAGATTAAGCATCTTTGCCTTGGTGGACACAGCTGAAGCTGAAGCAGGAGCCAGGGGAGGGGAAGACCACAGAGCTTTCCCTCCTGGGGAGGATGTGCGCCCCCTGCTGTCCCATTCTGTGGTAAGACTAACGCATTTCTGTGGGTTGCCATAGCCCCTGGGGTGGGTGGCCTTCTAGTTGCCCCTTTCCCCAGCTTGGTAGAGTGTTTGCTTATCTTCCTGTTCTTTTTGTGGCTCAGCTACTTTTTTGAACCCCGATGTCCCTGATTTGGTTCAGTCTTCTGATGCTGATCATACCAGTCACTCACCATCATAGATACCACACTGGGATAGCCCGCTCCAAATACTTGGGCGTGGGCCACATTCCAAGTGAGAACGAAGGCTTTCGTTAGCAGCCTGGCCTGGCTTCGCGAGATGAGCAGAAAGTTGACGCCTCTTTTAAAGAGTCTTTCTCTCAGGATCTTCATCTCCTGGCCAGCACTCTCAGTCTCTTCTAAGCGATGCCAATCCACCTTTGAAGGTGAGGGAGGTAACATAAACACGCTCATCATTTGCTGCCCCACTTGCCACAGCAGACTTCGGTGCAGACAGCCTGCGCGCCCTCTTCTTCTTTGCTTGTGTCTCTGTTTTAGTCTGTCTTCGAGATGCTGTATAGCAGCAAGACTAAAACAGGCCGCAGTGGAACTAGCAGTGCTATTTTCAGCTGAGTTGTTCTTGATTTTGGGCAACTCAGACTCTGCCAGATGATGGTGTTGGCACTGAGTTAAGTAGTTTAAAAAGAGTTCTCGAGTGTGCCGGGGTCGACTTGTTTCATGGCGACGCTCCATGAAATGCCGGCACTGTCAGGTACTGCAGGTGGGCGGGAATGGTCTCTTCAGATCTTCATTTTGGCTGAGCAAGTCAAGCTATGATAACGTTTTGGGCACTTTCTTCAGGAGGTGCAGTCCTTTCACCGTCTCTTGGATTTCCCCAGGAACTGGTGGGCTCAGCTGTTACTTCCACTTCGCCCAGAAGCTGCTTGCTGATATCAAACAACGTGGGGAGCCGCGGTGGCGGTACTTGCCTTCTCTGGCTGCTGCCATCTTGGGGGAGGGCGCCGGAATCACTTATTGTCGGACAGTGAAATATTCCATACTTCATTCCATGTTCTCCGTTACTCTTCTATGAAATGTGTCTCTCAGCAGTTAGCAGTCCCATTTTTTTCCAGTTCAGTGCTGATCTTGACTTTTGAGGTGGACTCAGAACTTGGTAACTGCATTCACCCTTATAATTTCAGATCTAAAGATTATGCCAGAAAAGCCCTTCCTATTGGGAGAAAGGAAGTGCATGGTGGCTCAGGGTCTTTTTACGGTTAGCTTGTGCTTCGCTTGCTATTGAAGGGAAGGGGAGAGGATGTAGGCCCACAGCTTAGAATGAGTTGTGAGCAAGCCTAACACTTCCTAGAGGTAAATGGCAGGCATTCATTTACCTGACAAGGTTTAAGCAGCCAAATTGTATTGTGATCTTTTCAGAATGAATCTGAACTTTTTGGGTTGACGGTGTGTCAATCTGACCAAACCAACTGTGGGGACTAAGGAAGGCTCTTCCAGACCAGGTGAGTCGGGCCAACCACAGACCCCCCGCCATGTCTTCGACTTTGACCTCTTTTGCACTTTTATCCCTGTCTCACTGCCTGCTGGGGTGGTAGCACGTACACGAATAGAGCGGTTTGTAGTGGGGAGAGCAGATTCTCAGCACAGCTAGAGGCACCGTCCCCATGAAAGTCTTGCTCTGGGACATAGGCGTGGACTGGGCCCTTCCTGCCTTGACAAGAGTGGGAGTTCTTTTTTGCTCAACTTAGTCCCTCTTTACTCTCATCTGCCTCTGCTAAGACCTGGACTTGAAGACTTGACATTTCCCAGTGACAACTGCCCTAGCCCTGGGAGTCCCTCAGTGGTAACTTCTATGTGTGACAGAAGTCACACACGCAGAATGTACACTCGGGTGACCCACGCAGCTAATTAGCAGTTGGCTGATAGCTTGAATCTCTTGACATTTGTTTGATTCTTTCCCTTCGATTTGGTTAGATGACGACTAGTCGAAGAAGTTCTCTAGGAAGACTCTGGAAGCCCATAAAGAAGAAGAGGGGCGAGAGCCTCCCAAAGTGGAACTGCAGGCGACAAGATCAAAGGCGCCTGCCTCTGATGTGAGTGGTGATGGGGCAATTGAATGAAGAAGCTTTGGGTTTCCTGTCCTCGTAGGGCTCGAGGTGCGCCTGGGGATTTGTGTCGCTGTGGATCGAGGGGGATGTCCAAGGTGAGAAACGGCAGCGAGTGTCCCTTGTTACTGGCATCCACCATCTTTCTCATCCTTCCTGTTCCCTCCCTGAAGACTTTGGCGCCAGGCTCACACTATCTTCCACTCCTAGGCTGATTTCAGAGAGGCCCTTCCTGTCAGCCTGCTCCCAGGTGCGGCCTCTCCCTACCTCGGCGCCTTCTGCCTCTTGATACACCATCCCGACCTTTGCTTCTCCTCTTTCCACCCTTTGAACAGTGGGGCTTCTCTGAGTTCCTTCCTTAGTCCTCAGCTCCTCTCCGCACTGTTCTTGGGGCAGTTTCAGCCACTTTTGTCCCATTTGAGGTTATCACAAACATTCAGTGTGCTAGTCTCCAGTCCTAACCCTGACCACTGTCTTGAGTTTCACATATTTCTGCCTGAATGTCTCACGGTCACCGTAAATTACCAAAGCACATCCCAAGTGAATTCCCTCTCCTTTTGCCTCGGTCTTCCGAGTACCCGACCTTAGTTAATGTTGCTGTCTTCCACGTAGTCACCCAAACCAGAAACCTCAGTGTCATCTTAGACCCCCTCGTAATTTATGCTTCATGCATTGCCGTAGCCTGCTAATTTTATCTGTTAAGGCTTCCTGGGTCTCTTTTTCATTCCTGCCACATCTTGGCTTGGCCTCTCTCCTCTCTCCTGTGAGTAGCTTCCTACCTGGTCTCCGAGCCCCAGGCCTGTGCCCTCCTGTCTTGTGCAGCCAGCGAGAGCTTCCTACAGCACAGACCTGATGACACCCCCTTAGGTGTTCTGGGCGTCCCGCCTCAGCAGCACTGAATCCCGGCTCTATCAGAGGGATCGGGGGCTCCCCGTGTTCTGATCTTGCTCTTCCCTCCGCATTGTGTCCCCATTTTTATTCTAGAAAACAAAAGAGTTTGTAGTTACCTATAAATCTCCATGTTTTTGCACAAGTAGTTCCTTTGCCTAAAATGACCTTTGCAACTTATCTTATTTGGCTAGTTCCCACTGACCTTTCATAGCTGAGCTCACTCGCTACCTTTTCCAGGAACCTATCTGAGTCTTCCAGTTGCGTTAGATAGTGTCCCTTCTGGGCTTCTGTGGCCTCTGGACTTCCATGGAAACCTCTGCCCACGCATTTACTGCATTGTTGTGGCATCACGTATTTAACAAATGTCTAAATGTTGCTTACTCTGTGCCAGGCACTATTTTAAGTGCTTTACAAATATTTACTCCTATTGACAATCCTTTGAGATAAGTACTATTATTATCCCCAATTCTGGGTGACAGAACTGGGGCACAGTAAGGTCAAATAACTTGTTGAACATGACACAGCCTGCAAGTTGTGGAGCTGGGACTGGAAGCAAGACTGTTGCTCTAGGATCTGCGTGCCTCTCGCAGTTCAGACCCATCCCTTCCCCACTGAGTAGCCAGCTCTTCAAGGGCAGGAGCCACATCTTACTCAATAACCCCAGTGCTCGGTTTCCTAGTTCAATACCTATGTGCTGACCTACCCCCACTACAAGGACGTCAGAGACAATAGTGTTTCCTATATCACACAAATGGAGAGTTTGTAGTGAGTGCTCTATTTATCTAGTCAGCTTTGTCCATTTGGAGCATAAAGCAAGGTTCAATCTCCTCCATTGTCTTCTGCACTTGAGCCCAAGAAAGATGGCTGCCCTTCTTGGTTCCACTGCAGCCATCCTGTGAATAGGAAGGGTTAGGCGTAGAGGGAGAAAGTTATGGTCCCTTTAACTGGGGTAAGGTGGGTGTGCTTGAGCTGGGACGCGAAGGTGCTGAGAGCTGTGTTGGCCAGGCAGTGTCATTCTGTGACTGCAGGGAGGGCGAAGCCAGCGGGCGTGTCCGAGGGCTCCTGTCACTGGGTGTCCAGCTCGGTGCCGTGGCCTCTGCCTCCTGCAGCCCCGCCAGGCCCAAGGCCTTCCCCGTGGGCGCTCGCTCCGGCCTGCTCCCTGCAGCTGGGTTCTGGGTGTGTTTTCAGAGGAATTCTCGCTCTCCCGCCTGGGGAGTCAGGGAGTTCTCTCTAACCGAGTGATTTCTGCACCCAGGGAGAGCCCGCTGCAAAAAAGGCCCGGTCCAATCCTCAGGTGTACATGGACATCAAGATTGGGAACAAGCCAGCCGGCCGCATCCAGATGCTCCTGCGTCCAGATGGCGTCCCCGTGACAGCAGGTGAGCGGGGCTCTGGTCAGGACTGCCAGGAAGCTGGTGGCTAATCAAGCTGGGGAGGGAGCTGCTGCAGCCTTGACACTATTCCTGCCTGAGTCCACTTGAGGCATCTTGGATCCCAGAAGCTAGTAGCAAATGAGGCAGAACAGGTATTTTTGAAGCTCTATAAAGCGTTAGGACCATTATAAAGAGTAAACAGTTGAAAGTTATAAAATATTTCAATTACCATCTGGTTTGTGTTTATTTCATTTTTAAGATTTTATTTATTTTTAGAGGGAGAAGAGAAGAGAGAGAAACATCGATGTGCAAGAGATACATTGATCAGTTTTGCCTCTTGCACGCCCCCCAACTGGGCACCTGGCCTGCAACCCAGGCATGTGCCCTGACTGGGAATTGAACCAGTGACCTTTTGGTTCACAGGTCGGTACCAAATATACTGACCCACACCAGCAAAGGCTGGTTTTATTATTTTTTTAAATAATTTTGTTTTGACATATTTTCAAACTTATCTGCATATGGAATAAAAATTCTGTAAGAACAGTGCAAGGACCTCTCCTATGTCATTTTTCCATCCATTAATTTACTTTTTGGCCCTGTTCTTTATCACTTACTTATATACATATATTTTCCCTCTTCTGTACCAGTTGAGAGGAAGTTGAAGACATGTCCATTGACTCCAGATATTTTCAGTATGTATTTCCTAAGAACAGAAATATGCCCTTTTCCAAAAAACTATCAAAAAAGCTATCAAAGTACAGCTATCAAAGTCAGGAAATTTAACATCACCACAACACTAATCAAAACTAATCTTCAGGCTATATTCAGATTTTGTCACTTATCCCAACTTCATGTAAATCTTCATGAGTCCGTTTTCCAGAAAAACTGACCTAAAATAGCCAAAAACGGGGAAAATCAAGTAGCAGGAACATGAATGTATTTTCAGAGATATAATCACAAAATAATCACCTGAAAGAAATGAACTTTACCTCTGGCAGGGCAGAAGAATGGTATTGGGGGAGCAGAAGAATTTCATGTTTTGTAACAAATTTCATGGAATGATTTTCTTAAACTATGTATAATTATGACTGTAATAAACATTTAAAAAGGCCAGACTGAGTCAGGCCAAGATGGAGGTATAGGTAGACATACTTCACTTCCTCTCACAACCAAAAGAAAGGTAGCAACCAATTTAAAAACAAAAAGCAACTAGAGTTGCCAGAAAATCGAACTGTGTGGAAGTCCAACAACCAAGGAGCTAAACATTCATCCAGACCAGTAGGAGGGGTGGAGATGGGAAGCCAGGACGGGAGGACGTGTGGCAAGGGGGCTGGCAGATGGGGGCAGGCAAATGGCAGCTGGTGGGCCAGAATATCCCACATTCAAGTGCGGATTAGCCAGAAGGAACAACTAAGGAATGAGACAGACCACACAACCCAGGGTTCCAGAGCAGGAAACTAAAGCCCCAAAACCTCTGGCGGTAAAGATCTGTGGGGGTTGCGGCAGGAGAAACTCCCGGTCTCACGAGAGAATCAGTAGAATGTACACAAGCTCACCCACCCGGGAATCAGCACCTGAAAGGGCACAGTCCACTTGTGGAAAGTAAGGGAAGTGATGGAAAGTGGGAGAGAGCTGAGCAAGCAGCATTGTTCCCTCTTGGGCCCCTCCCCGACATACAGAGCCACAGCGCAGCAACATGAGCTGCCCCACCCTGGCGGATACCTAAGGCTCCAGCCCTTACGACATAACATGTGCTGTGAAACAAAGAAATATGGCCCAAGTGAAAGAACAGATCAGAACTCCAGAAAAAGAACTAAGCGATGAGGAGATAGACATCCTATCAGATGTAGAATTTAAAACACTGGTGATCAGGATGTTCAGAGAAATGATTGAGTACAGATGCAAAATAGAGGAAGAAAGGAAGGCTGTGCCAAGTGTAATGAAGCAAAAACACAGGGAACCAACAGTGAAGAAGGAAATCAGGACTCAAAAGATTTGGAGCAGAAGGAAGGAATAAACATTCAACTGAAACAAGGAAGAAACAATTCAAAAAAGTGAGGAGAGCCTTAGGAACTTCTGGGACAACTTTGAATGTTCCAACATCTGAATCATAGGGCTGCCAGAAGGAGGAGAGAAAGAGCAAGAAATTGAAAACTTAATTAGAAAAAATAATGAAGGAAAACGTCCCCAGTCTGGTAAAAGAACTTGGCATACAAGTCCAGGAAGCTCAGAGTCCCAAAGAAGTTGGATCCAAGGAGAAACACACCAAGACACATCATAATTAAATTACCCAAGATTAAAGATAAGAGAATCTTAACAGCAGCAAGAGAAAAGGAGAGAGTTACGTACAAAGGAGCTCCCATAAGGCTATCAGCTGATTTCTCAAAAGAAACCTTAAAGGCAAGAAGGGACTGGAAAGAAGTATTCAAAGTTATGAAGAGCAAGGACCTACAACCTAGATTACTCTATCCCGCAAAGCTGTCATTTAGAATGGAAGGGCAGATAAAGTGCTTCCCAGATAAGTTCAAGTTAAAGGAGTTCATCATCACCAAGCCCTTTTATGAAATGTTAAAGGGACTTTTCTAAGAAAAAGATCAGAACTATGAACAGTAAAATGACAACAAACTCATATCTATCAGCAACTGAACCTAAAAACAAAAGCAAACTAAGCAAACAACTAGAACAGGAACAGAATGACAGAAATGGAGATCACATGGAGGGTTACCAACTGGGAAGAGGTTAGGGTAGAATTGGGGGGGAGGTACAGGGAATAAAAAGCATAATTGGTAGGCACAAAATAGGTAGGGAGAGGTTAAGAACAGTATAGGAAATGGAGAAGCTGAAGAACTTACATGGACAACCCATGGTCATGAACTAAGGGGGTGGGAATGTTGGAGGCTGAAGGGTGAGGGCATTTAAAGTGGAGAAAAAATGGGACAACTGTAATAGCATAATAAAATATACTTAAAAAATAAAAAGGCTAAACAAAAAAGATTATGGGTAAAAGGGTCATTATGAATATTTAAGAAAATATGAAACACAACAACTATCAATAGTAGTTAACCCCTGGGAAATGGGTTGCATATAGTGAGGGAAAATATTTTTTCTCATCTGCATACATGAATGTTTGCCTGGGCATAAAGTCTAAGTGGATTTAGAATAATCCTTCATTAGATGGGACATTGCAGGACATTGATTCCCTGCTCCCTTCCCACTAATGGCAGTAGCGCCCCCCAGTGTACGGACCAAAAACATACCTTGAAGTCTCCAAGCAGCCTGCAGGGGGCAGTGTTACCCTGCGTAGGACCCCTGTCCTAGGAAATCGCCTTGCCAACTTTGGGCTTAAATGTATAATGGAATTAGATTGTAGGTGCGGATGATTGTAAACAGACCTTCCCAACCCATGTCTGGCAGGACGTTTGAGAGTCTTAGAGATGGGACAATTCTTCATTAAGTGGGATATTGCAGACACCTAGCATTTCAGACCCCCACCCGCTAATGCCAGTAGCACCTTGCAAGTGTCTGATAATCAAAAACATTTAAATTTCCAAAGGACTCCTAGGGATGGGACCAACCCCACTGAGAACCATCAGCCCAGGCAAACTTCCAGTCCCTGGGCTTTCAGTCACGTCTGTCACTCCTCCCACATTTAGTGTCCATCCCATCTCTGTCCTCTTCCCTTGGAGACCACCCCCCACCCCCCAACATGGCTTCACATGCCCAACAGCTCTTCCTGAACTCTTCCTCTCCTCTTCCTGTTTGAGTCAGTGACACCACCATCCGAGGGACAGCGGGAGCAGGCGCCCTGTGGCCTGGAGGGAGGGCTCACCTGCTCTGGAGGAGGCTGCCTGTGCTCAGGCTGGGAGATGGGATGGGTGTCCCTGAGTCCCCCTTTAATCTTGCCCCCCTCTCCCCGCCCCTGGTTTCTCCTTTTCTCTTCTGCCCTCAAAGGCCAAGGGCAGCAAGGACGGGAAGCCAAAGGAGAAGGTGATCATTTCCGACTGCGGGGAGTACGTGTGAAGAGGTTCTTTCCCTGCGCTGCGCCTGTGGGTGCAGCCCAGGGACACAGCACTTGTTAAGCAGGGGTCCAAGACACTGCCCTTCTCGGCGTCAGCCTGGAGCAGCCCCTCTGCAGACCGTCTGGGCTTCCCCTGGCTCTTTCCCAAGCGCGGCCGCGGGCCCGGAGCCGGCACAGGTGCCACCCTCCCCACCATGGGTGGCTGGGCATGGACTTCCTAGGCCTTTGCTGCCAGGGCCTCTCCTGGGCCCACCAGTGTGACTGCTGGGCATTTCTTCTGATAAAATAAATCCTGGCTCTTATATTGCCATCTGCTAGGAAAGACCAGAGCTCCTCCCCTGCTGCTCGCCCTTCCCAGGCGGTCCCTGGGCACACACCATGCGGGGCCACTGCCAGGCCACGGAGGTCAGAGCAGGTGCAGAAATGCCTCTGTCCTCTCGCTCCCGGTACCAGACATGCGACGTGGGTGAGCCAGACTGTTTCTGCCGTCACACCTGCTGGTCCTGAGTCACCTCACAGCATCTCTCATGTGCTGAGGCTGAGAAACCATCGGTCACCAGAAACCAACTCCAGCATGACCACCTGCTCCCAGCCAGTAGCTCTGCATCAAATCGCGACATTTAGGGACATCTGGGCTGGGCTGGGCTGGGCCGGGCCTTGAACACCGGTGAGGTCAGGTTGAGCGGGGAGGGGAGGAGGCTGCTGGCCTGCGGCCCCAGCATCCCCGGCCAGCTCCTGCGGCCCGGCCTCTGGCATCCGGAGCCAGCCTGGGGGCTGGGCTTCAGGTGGAGCTTCTCCCCAGCAGAGACCCTCACTTCTTAAACTACATGTCCCTGTCACGGGTGGTTGGTCATGGCTGTCAGGACAGGCAGCAGTGAGTCCAGGGGAATGGCAGCCTTTTGGGGCCGGTGTGACATTCAGAAGAGAGGATGTGTGTAAAGTACTCAGCTTGGCCAAGTCTGAATATGACAAGCTGGGACATGGAGCAGGCTGGCCCGAGGCACCAGGAGGGAGGGCTGGTCTCACAACACTGTGAAACAAGGGGAGAGGCAATAGGGGGACCTTGTCGCTCACTGTGCTTCCCTGGTTGTCTTGGGTCTGTAGGACCAGCAGACTGGCCAGGAGGCTGGTGGGTGGGGGCCGTGGGGTGACAACTGCTCGCCCTGTGCTGTGCAAGGGCTGCCCCAGAAGCCAGCCCTGCGTCCACCCGTGACTTGCACAGGTTGACCTGACTCGGGGCAGGTGCCAGGTCCAGGCATTCCAGGGTAATGGCCAGTCTGCTGGCCATGCAGGTGTCCCCTTCCCCATGCTGGGTGGAGCTTGGATGGGCTTCCAGGCAAGGGATGGTGAAACCTGGTTTGTGAGTGAGAAAACTGAGGCAGACGCCTAGGCATGGAATGCTACTACAAGTTGTTATCAAAGAATATTTAATAACATTTTCAGAATAAATTGAATAAATCAGGTCCACAAGCAGTGCATACAATATGATCCTAACTTTGTAAAGTATCCATGTGTTATTTTATAAAATAAAATAAATATATATGTGCCAAGAAAAAAGACTGAGAGGGATCATTAACAATGGTTATACCTCTGTGGTGGGATTATGCATGTTTGTATTGTTTTTTTATTTTCAAAAACTTCCGCAGCATATGGGTAATTTTCTTAAGTGAGGAAAAAACAAAGGGAGTCAAATGGTTGCTCAGAGCTCCCAGTAAGAAGAGAAATCCCGGAGTTTCTCCCTTCAGCTTCCCAGGAGGGGCGGCCGCTGCAGGTCCTGCCAGCCACTGCGCACAAGGAGGCCCACATTTGCAAACTATTTTAAAATAAGACCACTAATAGATGCTACTCATTCCACACACGTGCAGACATGGTGGTAAGCGCTCTGTGGACAGACCTGATCCCCATCTTGGCCTTGCAAGGACAGAAGCAATACCCCTTTTCTATAAGGGAAGGGCCTTCTAGCTCAGGTTTTGTCATTTAGTCAAATTAACAAGAGGCAGAGCCAGGTCTGCTGGTGCAAAGCCCTCTCTCTCTTGGCCACAGCCTCCTTTCCTGTGAAATTGTAGGGGATTTCTTGGAGCCTGTTACCCACTTCCCTGCCTAGAGAGACAAAAGAACAGGGCTTTGCCCGATAAGCTGGCATCAGGGCCAAGGCGGCGTTTGACTCTGGTGGAGTGTGATGGGCGGCTGAGGACAGAGCAATTTGCTCCACACTGAACGGCCCCGGCTCGCCTGCCCCTTTGCATCCTCCCTTAATGTCAGCGTTTACTTTGCTGTCAGCAGCCTTGAGTTGACCACCCTTATTCATGCTTCTGACGTGCAGCCTTGAATGTAACGGGTGAAAGAGGCAACCAGATAAATGAGGTGGCCTTGGGAACTCCACACTGCCACTTCGTCGGCTTAGGGACCATAATGATCTTCCTTTGCCAAGGCCTTTTCTGTTGGAATTTTGTACGGTGGCCGCCTGTGTGGCTGAAGGAGCTGGAAGTCTCAGGAAGGCCGAGACCGCTGTACCGCGCACTGATGGGCGAGGCAGTGCGCATCTTTAAAACATTTGCTTCACACACTTTCCTGGCACGCCCAGCCCATGCCGGTTTTGTGCTGGGCATGGAAGAGACGAAACACTGACATCTGTCAGAAGTTTCCAGCCTCCACTGTACCAATGTTGGGAGGAGAGAGCTGTTAAATAAAGTTCTGAAATGGCAGGTTCCATGACCTACGGCAGCTGGGCACTTGGCTCTGAGAGAAGGGTCAGGGTGGCAGGCACATTGTCTGGCTCAAAGGGCCTTTGGAGATGAAAGAGTCCTATGTGCTCATGTCACAGATGGGAAACTGAAGCCTGAATCAGGAAGTGGGCTGGTCCAGACAGCAAGCAGGTCAGTGGCCGAGCTGGCACCAGAGCGCAGGTCTCCTGATATTCCTGCCGGTGCCTGGCCCAATCCCTGTCAGCCTGAGCTCGGAGCCCCTGACTAAGGAGGACCCTCCATCTTCCAGACAGTCTGGGCCTGTCCTCTGTGTACATGGGGTGGCGGGGTGGGGGTGTCTTCTCTGTGCTAGCTCCCAGCGCTGCCCCCCCCAGGTCCAGGTGTGGAGGCTGCTGTCCTGCAGCACGGCCCCAGCCTCCGCCCCCGCCTGCTCCAGGCCTGCTCTCCCAGAGCCTGTCCTCAGCGTGGAGAGTGAATCCCAGGGTCCTGCGTCCTGGGGCACAGGAATCGTTCTGCCTCTGTGGGTGGGAATGGCCCCGGGTCAGCTATCAATGACACAGTACTTCAGGGTTCAGGCAGCTGGACTCTGTCTGCTCCAGCAGGTAGATTACAGGTTTAGCAAGTCAGAAATCAAATAAACACTCCAACTGGAGGACAGTGGTTTCTGGGACCCTTCCCACCCAGCTCATCCTAATTACTGCCTGTCGCTCCCCTGGGACAGGGGCCTTTTCCTTTGGCTGAGAGACTCCAGGAAACAGGACAGGACTCAAGCACATAGGGTGACCAGCCTGTTCTTACCTTGCAGACTCTAGCGGACATTGACAGGGGCCACCCTTGCCCCACGCCTGGCCAGAGGTGGCCCTGGCCCTCTGCTTTGGAGGGACGGGCTGCTCCTTAGCATGGGAGGAGCGGGGGAAGTCTGCTCATTTCAACTCTGAACGGCTGGTGGCTGCCCGGAGTTTCGTGTTGAGGTCTTAGGGCCCTGGCTAGGTTCACGGGGCAGAGAACCCAGTGGTTACTGATGGCCATGGGCAAGAGGCTAGGCAGCAGGGACGTCTTGTGCTGTGTGTCTGCAGGACCACCTGCTGCACATACTGTCCTTGCTTCTGCTAAGAGTCACCTCTGTCTCAGCGCTGAGCCCCAGCGAGGGAACTGGAAGACCCCAAGACTCTTTGCTTCTCTGGGGTTCCACCTCTCCCCCAGGCATGGGGTGGGCAGGCCCAGGGCATGAACCCATCCAGCTTGTTCTTTTCCTAATGTGCGAACTGCTGGTGGCCAAGTTAGGAGCCCAATAAGACACTGCCCTGAGGGCATGTACATGTCCAACTAAGCCTCAGAAATGCCAGATGTTGCCCCAGGGAGGGGCAGATTCTGGTCCCACACCTGAACCCTGTGACGAGTGATGCAAAGCCAACCACCCAGCCTTAGACTCCAGGTTCTCCTCAGACCGGCCCGGGCTGCTCACAGATGGGCCAGGATGGCCAAGGACAGGTCCTAAGTTAGGCCTTCTGTGCTGACTGCAGACAGCACAGCCAGCACGCCCTACAGGGTGGGGCGGGACAAACCACAGATGCGGGGGAACGGGCAGAGGGGCCTGGACAGGACCAATCAGACGCTGTCGGTGTGTGCGCAGAGAGAGGAGAACCCTACTTTCCCCACCTACAGTGGCATTTGCCGGTCTCAGCCTCTGGAGAGGGGCCGGTCCGGTGGGAGGCGCTGCCGCGGCCGGGGGCGGGGCCTCAGTGGCAGCCGCAGGCCTTGACCACCATGTTGCGGTGTTTGCGCAGGATGACGTTGTTGCTGCTGTCGTAGTAGAGCACGGTGGTGGCGCTCAGCCTGGTGGGCGCGCAGCACGCCTTGGGGACTCCGTCTGGCTTCATCAAGTGCACCTGGCCAGGGAGGAGGGCGGCAGGCAGAGGCGTGAGCACCACGGACTTCTCCCAGGGCCCGCCCAGCCCGGGCCCCCAGCTCCTGCCTGCCCCTCCCCTGCTCCACAGACCTGCAGCCAGCGCAGGTGTCACAGAAAATCTGCGCCCCCCCCCCCCCCCCGCCCCCGTGACCCTTTCCCTTCCCAGCCCTGAGGCCCTTAGGGCACAGCCTAGGCACCTGCCTGCTCCCTGCCACGCCCACGCCCCTCGAACCCTCAGACCCTGCTGGTCCCCAGCACACAATGCTCTTGCTGGCACGTCCCTCGGCCTGAGGCTCTGGAGCCTCTGGGGTCCCTTCCAGGGTCCCCTCCACTCCTCCCTCTTCTCTGTGCTTCCATAACGTCCCTGATCATGTCTCATCCACCTTCGCTGAATACCGTCTGGGTCCCCCTCCTGGGATCCAGCGAGTGTTCGTGGAATAACTGGATAAAGCCCAGGCTTCCAGGGTCGCCCTTGGGTGCTCAACACCGTTACTTCCCAGAGCACTTTCGCCGCTCGTAGCAGCTTCTAAGGCAAGTCTCGTTCTGGCCGGTGGAGAAACCGAGGGCACACGGCCACGCGAGCTGCTGCAGGACTTGGAACCACGGGCGCTGATCCTGCGCCCTCCCCCTGAACAGCCTCACCCACCTGACTGAGCCTGACTGAGGAGCTATTTCAGCCTCCTCACAAATATTTATCCTGGGACTTGGCAGCAGGAGCTGGGTTTACACTGGGCTCCTCGTCAGGGCCCCAAACCGATGGCCCAAAAGGCAGCCCTGAGCTACGGGGGGCAGCAGGGAAAAGGAAACCTATTTCCACGTGTGTGTTTGTGTGTGTGCGCGGGCGCATGTGCGTGGTCGCTCCGATGGCCCAGAACCACCCAGCCCTCACGGAGGCTGCAGAGCAGGACCTGGATGCAGCTGTCCTATGGGGGGACCCGTCCGGCAGCCTGGTCCCTGTTCCCCAATGCCTTGTCCCCAAAGCCCCACCTGCCAGGAGGACTGTCGGCGGGGCACTGGGCTGGCTTGGGGCCCAGAGCCTCTCTGCGGCCCGCTGGGGAGCCGAGGCCTCTGAGGGGACGTCCAGCCGGACTGGGACGTGGGGACCGCTGCTCCCCAACTTCCCAGCCTCCACACGTGATGTCTGGCCTTGGCATTCATAGGTTCATGTGAAAGGAACCAGGCAACACCGCCCTGTGTGCCAGTCATGATGGGGCTCGAAGTGGCTAAAAACCATGGAGGCCTTTCCTGACTTGGGACACTGGAGAGTCCCAGGGAGGGTGGGGATGCTGCCTTCCTGCGACTCCACCCAGGACCAGAGCATTGTCAGATCAATGACAGAAAGAGAAGCTGCCTTTTATTCCACATGGCACCAAACAGGTCGATGTGCAAAGCCTAATGTGCCATTCCATTCTGTTTGCTTTTGAGCCACTAGGAGACCAAATCAGAGGCTCTGTTACTGTGGGTATAAATCGCACATCCGTGGGCCTTAGTTTTCTACTCTGCTAAATGGGTATGCTGGTATTTCTTTCATTTCTCACACATATGCCTTGTGGCTGCCGTGCCAGAGGGGAACCCAGAAATGTCCCAGATGAGGTCGCTGCTCTCATCTCAAGACCTGTTTTAGGGGCCCCTGCCC